AAGGAAGAAGGATAAGCTGTGTACTTCCTGTCTTTTATCTTCATAAAACCCCTATTAAGCATTTTTCGGTATAAATCTTCGGTCTTGAGTTTAAACTCCCTCTGGGCTTGGCCAGCTGTCCTGGTGAATCCCGGCATCTCTGCAGCTGTCCAGCAGCCAGGCTTTTACATCCCCTCTGTTCTTTGCTATGCAAATGGGGACCTCACCTGAATGAAAAAGGCTTTTTATTTTAGAGCAGCGACCAAACCCTGCTGAGGAAAAACGCAAAGCCACCCCAGCGTTTTGTTAAGGAGCACGTGGAGATTGGCATTTTATCATTTCATATCCTCCCCAAGAAATCTTTAGAGCTCTGAGAGATGGCAGTGGCTGCTGGCCCCAGTACAATTAGAATTGGCACCAGGCATCAGATGGGGATGCAGCCACACACAAAGGCCAGCCTGTTGCACGGGGATGTAACTTCAGCTCTGCTCAAAGGTCAACCACAGGAAGTTGTTATCCTAAAGGGAAATAAATCAGGTGGTTTAACTCCATGGAGAAGAGTAACTTGCTCTATTAAGTGTTGTTTTTGAGGCTGCACAGGCAACGCTTGAAAAATGAAGGGAGGATGGCGCCTGTGTTTTGCATTATAATTCAATTTAGCAATACCACACACACACACACACAAAGCTTTATTGCTAATGGATGCACCAAGCAGACCTGACTGCTCTACATCAACAGCAAAACAAAGAACTCCCCATCAGCAGCAGGCTATCATTAGCAGTAATGTTATTCCAAAGCGTGGTGTATCTGTCAGGCAAATGTAACTGCATCTGACATCCACCACAGTTCTATTTGCCTGGCTGAGATGATACGTTTCAAATTGAGGAACATCTGTTTCAGGCATGTGATGAATCATCTTCAACTATATTTCCTATTTCCTGCTATCCTGTGAGATCAGGCAGTGGAAAGGAGTTACATAACGCTGGGATTGTGTTGTTTTTCTGTACTACTGAAATTTTAGTTTCTTTTCTTTTTTTCTGATCTGTGGCTCATTTCATGGTTTAAAAAAAAAAAAGAGTCCCCACAGAGAGGATATTTCCATTTCTAGATAGGAAGGAGCTGAAATATAAACTTATGCTATGGATATTCTTCCTTTCCTATTGACAGTAAGTCAGCTGAAATGGCTCACTCACCCCCAGATAACAGTTCTAGAGAGGTACAATGTGATACTTTTGCCAGTGTCCTCCTCAGCTGATCAGTTGTCTCACTGAATGTACTAGAATTGTAGCTGCTTGCAAGAGTGTGGGGGAATAAGTAAGTAACAAGGTAAAGCAGAAGTTTATATAAAATACAAAAAGAACACTGTGAGAAGTTTGGTCACAGAGGAGTTTGGCAATGAAAAATAAGACCCTTTGATTGAAATGTAAAATTTCACACATCAAAAAAAAAGGGATTAATATTCAAGCAAAGGGACCTGACAGCATATCAGCTCAGCACATGTAGAAAATTTCATGTAGCACTAATGTGTGTGTCTTCTGCATTTAAAATGAAAATCAAGAGCTATCAAGACGAATAGGGATGTTTTCAGTGGGCTGGATGGGGAGTAGCAATTTGAACACCTCCATGCATGAGAAAGCACCGTTTGCCAGCACCCTGAAGAGGATCCCTGTGTGCTGATATAAAAATACTTGTTTCTCAGTGGATGGTATTTATTGTATCCCAGTGATGTGCAGTGGGACAAAAGAACACCAGATCTTGTGAGCAGCCACAGGGAGCTCAAATGCTTGGTCTGTTGACTTTAAAAGGATGGTTTATAAAACATCTTCACAATCCTAAAACAATAAAAGCATTTAGACTGCCTGCTCAACTAGTAGAAGGCAACTAGTTCTGCAGCTTTTGGAATTCACTTTGGTTTCTGGACATATTACACTGTTCTGAATCCCACCAAGCGGGTCAGAGCCAGGTGATTCTGGCTAAGCAGAAAAGTCTCTTTAAGTGGAAACTTCAGATCCAAACATGGATCCCAGCTTCCCTTAAATTCATTGGAATCTGAAGTCAGGAATTTAATTTGGGCTCCTAGGCCATCACTCCAGTTAAGAGGAGTTCTGTCCCTGATTAGTGCAGATATTGCTGGATGTGTATCCAGCTCCCAAAACTTTGGGATGTATCACAGCTGACCAGGAGCGTTCCTCCAAAAGCAAACTGCCATATCAGCAGGGCATCCAAAGCAGCAAGAGCATCTACAGCAGCACCATCTGGTGTCCCTCAGTGGTTTTATCGTTCTGGTAAGTGTTGCAGATGAAGTCAGCACACAGAATTCAACAGCAAATGAAACAGTCACATCATTTCCACTGCTCTGTCCCAACTCTCACAGGGAACAAATGATGCCATTTATCTCTTTCCCTGTGATCTCACAGTTGCCCACATCCAATGAGTTTAGGGTTCGCTTTGCTTTCAAAAGGAGGCTGATTTACATCTTTTTTCCTGCAATCAAACTTGGGCTGCACGAGAAAAAACAGGAAACCGTGCAACTGCCTGTGCAAATCAGTCTTCAGATAAGCAGGTTTTTGATCAGTCTATCCCAGGTACACCTGGAAAAGTTGCCTGTCACCCACTCTCATGCTTGGCTGTTTCCCACACCTGCAGCCCTTGTGCTCTCAGAATATAAAGAAGTGCTTTCCTCAAAGGATGCACACCTGAAATGCAGCAGATCTCAGCGAACTGGACATTAGACAACACTAGGGAAATAATTCTTCAGTTCCCAGGCAATGACCTTGGAAAAGTGAGTTCAGTACTTTATTCATCTCTACTGGCTATAATATTGTGCTTTATTAAGTGTGTGTAGTATCCCTTCTAATGGGGACCAGCCTTTACATATCCATGGACAACAGCTTTATTTCTTTCTAAATGTGTGTCTCCTGTGACTGAACTCTCAAGGAACACTATTCTTGAAATTAATCTTGAATGCTCTAATTAGAATGGCAGTGGTTACACAATTCTCTAACGGCTACTTTGAAGAAACAATTACTGTCTTTATTATGATAACCCTCCAGATGAGATACTGCAGTTGACAAAAGATTATTAAACAAGGTATTATTCAGTCACTGACTCACTCGGGCAGCAGCTTGTGCCTGTAGTGATGAAGGCCAACATGCCAGCACTTAAAAGTGTTGTAATACAGGGCTCAACTTTGTAATGCTTTTTGGACAGCACAATATTGCAATAGATTGGGGCTTTTTTTAGTAAATCAATGGTAATTCAGCTATAATTAGATCCTCATAAGAATGTAGAAGGTGGGATCAGCATACAGAATTGAAACCTTTTATTTCATCTATCTCAGAAATGAGCATAGGAGGTCAGAAACTGAGACAATGGGCATTATTTCCCAGAGTAAAGAATTGAGTTAATCCAATTTGTGTCTCTTTATAGCTGAAGTCATTAGTCAATCAGAAATGTGACTGTAGGATAAACAATGTCAAGTCCACGGCAAAGTCTGAAAGTAACAATTGGAAGGAAAAATGAAATCCTGGTTATGCCACTGAAAGCAGTGTTATTTGGGCTAAAATAATTTTTAATTCTACAACCCTTGGGTTGCATCTACTTGTAAATTATCTTGGCAAGAAAGGCATTGCAGGAATGTAAAGATATTATCTTGAGACTACCTATAAGCACTTTGCTCAACTCTTCTCTCCAGGGGTAGCTGCTTGAATAAGTGAGTAGTCATTGAGATTTTGAATTAGTTTTGTGTATTATGCCTTCACTGGATAGTTCATTTTCCTCTGCTATGGATAACACAAAGATCCTTTCTAAAAAGACAGTGCCCCAAGTTTTCTAATCAGATTCTTATACCCTGGTGACTCTGCAGAGCATTTTCTAATAGAATTGAGGCACGGGCAACGGAGCCAAAATAGAACAGGCTATTAAAAATGTTATCTCTATGGAAGCTTATAATAACAATACTAAAACAATTCCATGATAGAGAAGAACTCACTTGGAAAAGAGATGCATTAAGTCAGAGTCACTGCCACTCACAAAAAGCTTCCAGTGAGAGGGAGTGCTCTGTAGGAGGAAGGTCTGGTACCAAGGAAAACAGCTACCTCTGCAAAGGCATTATTCACTATATTCAACAACAGCTCTTTAAAAAATCATCCAATAATGACTAAATCACTGATGATTGTTTTATCTGATCTCAGATTGCCTGTATAATTATAACAGTCATACTCTGGACTCTCTAAAAGTATGCAAGTAATAACATAAGAAGCCTAAAAAGTAATTTTCCGCATTTTGATGTCCTTCAGTGCTCTTTTCTTTCACTTGAGCCATGTGCTGTGTTGGCAAGTCTCCATCCAAGTGCTGGATGGTATCAACAGACTGTGCTGGATTCTCAGAAAGAGGACATGGAGAGAGCAGCTGCAGATTTCATCTGGTATTGTCAGGGCATTATCGCACTTCGGCACCATAAGGTTGCATTTTAGTACGTGCTGCTGTCAGTGCTCAACTGGAAAGAACTCTGTAGCTCCCCTGTAAGGTATTCTGGTAGCACAAAGTGAGGGGGTTTAACATACTGAGTTCATCAAAGTGCCACAGTTCATCTCTGTAGACAGATAAACAATTCTCCAGTGAGATTTTTTTTCTCTTCCAAAACCACTATTTGCCTCTTTCTAGTTGAAGGTGTTTGTGAAATAACAAAGCTTTGCCGAAATGGCCCAGGGTTTACTCACACCCTTGTATTCACTGATCCTTCCATTGCCATCACCCGGCATTTGGGGAGATGTTCACAATAACCTTTTATCTTCACCTATGTCTTAGTTACTTTAAAATATACAGTGAATGTGACAGAAAAATCCCCACGACAAACGTTAAGCATCTCGGACAAATAAAGTGCGTGTGCCCAACACTCCACACCCGTCCACCAGCGCTGGGCTACCACCAGCCCTTCCTGCGGAACAGCTCCTCATTCAGAGAAGATCTGCTTAGAAATTCATAGCCCACTTGGGTCCATTACTATGAGAAAGCCTCACCGGGGTTATTGAATGCTGTCCCTTCTCAAGGTTACGTCCTTACAGCGGTGTCGAGCCCGGGGCACTTCGTTTCCTAAGCAGCATTTTGGCAGTTTGCCCTCGCGTAGCCGGGAAACAGTTCCTGGGTAACCACCGGGATTACTTCAATACCTTCAGCTGGGGCTTAGTTACTGAAGGGGTTCTGCTAAGAGGCTAATTAAAAAGTTCCAATCCGCGCTTACTCGATAGCAAAATATTGTTTGTTCACTAATTCAAAGACATAAAGATCGCAGGCCCAGGTGTTAATGCAAAAAAATAACGGTTTTCTTTTTTATGCACGTTCCCAAATCTAAACTTCCACGCTGTATCATTTGCATAAATCCAGATTAGTTTCTCTCAGGAGGAACAGCTACATTGCTTGCAGCACATTCTTTCTGTCTGGGAGTCTTCCCAGCCTGTCAGCTCCGGAATTGACACATTCTGGGAAGCCTCTCTTGGCTCACCCAGAGCTCTCCCTCCCTTTTCTAGTTCTTTGAGGTTTTAGGCTTCTTTGATCCCCCACTTAGCCTTGGGAAGAGCACCCACTGTAGCCTGGACGGAGCCAGCTCATTAGCTTTTCTCCAAGTGATGACCCAGCCATTATCATCGGAGCCCCTTTGAAGCCACCTATCTGAAGATATTCTTATCTGTGTCATTGCCTCGCGTTTCCTCTTTGCTCCTTTAACAACCTCTGCTTTGATTTAACTCTCTCCCTGCCGGCAGGAAACAATGTTGTTTTGAACGGGGAAACATTTATAACAGGAATGAGGAATGTATTCCTGATGAGAAAAACCTGCTTCCTTTTTTTTTTCCAACACCTGTTTCAACTTTCCCCTGTTATTCTGAAATCGGAGAGGTAAGAGGGAGTGCTTAAGGATTTCCACTGGGTCTGATTTAACACATGTGTGTGCAGAATAGCTGGAAGACCAGAGTAAGACCTTTTGTTTTCTTTTCTCTGTATACATATGTGCATGGTCAAAATCTGTGGTCCCTCTCGGAATATTGCAAGATTTTTATAAAGCCGTAATCATATATAAATCATCAATTAGCAAATTTTCTCCAACTATCCCAACAGTTCTGTTAAATCAGGATCAGGAATCCTACTGAATTCTTTTCTTGGATTCAGTTGCGAAAATTGTGTGCAGTCCTGTCTCAGGCAACCTTCTCACACTGGAAAATCAAGCAGGTCATTCAAACAGCCACAGATAACACCGGTTTGGAAAGAAACAAGATAATGTCTGAGTTTTAAAAGATCTGAGCATCACCTGCCTTCTTTCCCTCCTTAAAATCAACTACGAAAACTCCCATAAACTCCCCGGAAGAAAGTTTAAGAAAATGTTCAGGTATTCTAAAAACACCCTCCAAAATCTCTGAGCAACTACAGCAATTTGCAATGTTACCTTTAGGTGTGAAGAGGGCATTAGTATATCTGCTACAAGATATGATATTTTGTCCCTGTCTTTCTTCTAGATGATTTAATTACAAAAAAACCACGAGTTATTTTCCCAGATTTGGTCTAATTAAAATTAAATATGTGCCAGATGGTTTGTAAACATTTAGAAAGTGTAAATTGTTGATGTAAAAAAGTGCAAAAGTCACAGGTAGGCAGCGATCCTATCTAATGGAGTTGGAGACAGGAGACTGGAAGTTTTGGAATGAGGTGCTCTTTGTAACAGAAGTTAAAAGGAACAATGCCTAATGATGAATAATTTCACAAAGAGCCAATCATTCATTCTCCCACTGGTAAAATTCGCTTGAGGTCTGGGGAAAAGTACAAAAGGGCCAAATCTCTCCTGCCTTGAGACTAATGCTATTATTCAAACAATAAAATATACATGAAAAAGGTATCCAGTCATCTCTACTCATTGCCAATTTTCAGGTTTTCTTGTGAGATCTACTCAGTATATATTTTAGTTACAGTGATTTAAGTATGTTTGTTATTCTGTTCTTATGTTTGTTGGGGTTGCCTTTTACAGGTTACTGTGGTTTTTGTGATTATGGGACTTGGGATTTTATTTTGCACTTGCAGTTTTTTTTGCCACTACCTTCAACAAATTCAAGATCAGTGCCCTTTCCTGAAATTTTATATATCCCTCTATGCCTCTGTTTTTATTGCACATCGAGGCTCATTGACTTTTTATGGCTGCTGCTGTGGCAAATTAATTATTCCCTAATTATTATATGAGTGGGTGTGACTGTGTTGCACCACAATCTTAAAACATTACATCAGGAGTGGAACATAGCATGAACTGATTAAACATGTTCCTTCTTTGATGAATGTGTCCTTCCCTCTACATCAGGCTGGGACAGGAGGCTGAGTGAATGGCAAATTATTGTCATCATGGTGGATGGTCATGAAGAAAATGGCCTTCTGATCTCACTGATTTACTTTTCACTATAGTTTCAGTTTAACACACCATTTTACTTGTGACATGTTTTCTTCCCTCTCTAGATCAAGCACATTAGTTATGCAACAACTGCCTGAAACTTCTATAGTGGTTGAACTCCATATTCAAGACTCTCTCTGGGTCTAGGTAAAGACTATAGAATATTGACTTTCCCCAGGGAATATCTCCAGCAGAAAGTTTCTCTTACAGAGACAGCTTCAGAGAAAAACCCAAAAGTAATGTATTTTACTGTCCAAGGAAAGGGAAATCACCAGAATTTTAACCAGAGAACTAACTTGGTTGTATAGAACACTTGAAACCTACCCTGGGCCTCAAAACAAAATAACTACTCTGCAAACTTGCTTTCTTCTCCAAAATAGCTTTTTCAGGCTTGCTCGTGTTCTCCCTATACCTAACTGATAACTCTTCTCAGCTGGGCTTCCAAAGTAATATCTGTGTTCTGAGATTGTATCACAAATCCATGAGGGATCAACAAACCACTGAGGTGGACTTTCTTATAGTATGGAGCCAAAATGTCTCCCTGATTTCTCTGGGCACCTAAATACCTTCTGTAGTGTTCTCCCCCTGGTTTGAGACAAGTGTGAGCTTTGTTTTCAGGACTAATTTCGATTTTCAGGTAATATCTACAGATAACTTTACATTAATGGTACATAAATACACACCTGGGTCCAGCAGCTGATATAAACCACCATTTTTCCCAGATTTCTGTGGTCCATGACTGGAAAGAAAAAGGGCAAGAATAGCTCAAATGTGACATTCAGTTAGTTTGCTTCATACACTATAGGAATAGACTTAACTGTTGTCATGGTGGTGGTTATATAAGGCCCTGCAGAAAAGAAAATAGAACACGAGCCATACAAGCATTTCTAAAGTGCAAACATTTAAATAGCAGCTTCTGTTTAGTTTGTAGTGTTTTCTCACCTCCTCACTTCAGTTACAGCTCTCCCACATTTAATTAGCTCCCTCCAACTGGAGACCTCATCACGTCATCCCTAATGCATGGTCTGTATCAGATGTTCTACCTCCAGCAAATATCTACTTGTTTTAATTATGGATAACACTGTTGCAGTAATAGAAGAATGCAGAGTCCCTGGGAAACACAGTTTTTCATAATTCAGAATAGAATTTTAAACACAGGGCGAGAAATACAAAGTATCCAACCCCCCCAGTTTTTAATGACTAAAAGGCTTCGGTGAAACCCCGACGGGAACGAAATAATATTTGCAGCTCACAACGATCATCTCCCATGTTTGCTCCAAGGTGTTAATGGCTCAGGCAATTTAATTTACATACAAAAGTACAAAGTGGAGAAAGCAGTTTCCTCCCAACACCTGTGGTACTTTTTCTGGGTATATTAGGGTATATTGTAAGTGCTTCAAATGAAGATAGATGAGGAATGTACTAGTAAGAGTTTATTAAATTCTTTTACTAAATGCTAAACAATAGTGTTTAACTTGAAGGTTTTCACGTTCAAAGAGATCCTGCTTTCATCTTCCAAGTCTCTAAAGAAGGCTGCGGGAGAAAAGGCTCAAATAATGTACCTTTCCTTTTCTTTAACTTGAAGGACAGTAAAAATCCTTCCAGACAAAGCTTCTTTCCCTTCTTTCTTTCTTTCTTCTACAGAAAGAATATGCATATTTTATCACACTTTCTTCTTAAACTTTTTCACACCTACCAGGAGATGTCTGTACTCCATCAACATGAGATCTACTAACTAAAAAATACCGACTATATTTAACTGATTTCCATAACAAAAACCCTCGAATTGAATAAACACTGATTTGAGAACTGTTGATGCCCAAGCACTTCCCACTTGGAATTGTTTTTCCAGGGTTCTCCACACGAACTCGTTTTGTGGAAAAGACAGAGGTGCTTCCATGCATCACCTGTATCAACTGTTTTACACGAGGAGAGAACCAGAATTTTTGAGAGACTGTTTGATGAACCCCCCAGGCTGCTGTGCATCAGTGGACAACTCTCACTGACCAAGACAGGGCAACGAAGTGCTGCTGATCACTAATAACTCAGTGCTGATGCCAGGGTGAAGAATTACACTGGGTACAGGAGTAGAAGATGTTGCTGTTGGATTTAACTGAGTCCCAACTGACAGAGAGGTGAACATCTTGAAAATGGCTTATTCACCTCTTCATCGGCCTTTTTTTTAATTAGAATGACATCAATTCACAGCAAATAAAAAAAGCCCAACACTCAATGATGCTCTAAAGTGTAACTCCAGCAGTTGCATCATTGCCTTGACATCTCACCCCCCATTTGTTTGAAAAGTAGGACTGGAAAAAAATGTAGGGACAGAGAGTGAGGTTTTCACCTTGACCTGTTGTTTAGAATTCTGTCAAAAGAAATTTTGAAACAATATAAGCCCATACTTTTTGTTTTGATCTTTTAATATATTCGTATTTGCAAGTAGATAAACTAATTAAGAAAAGCTTTAAATCTCATGTCAAGGGTCTGAAGATTTGAGGAGCTGGCCCTAGAAAATGGTATTGGTCTATTAGTAAATATCAAGGACATTTTTCCCAGCTTTGTTAAATGCTTCCATTAGCTGAAAGTGTATTATTTTGCAGTCAGAAGGGTGTTACCTTTTAGTTGTGTGGCAACAATAATAAATCCATCCCCTTTCAACAGGGTTTATCAAGTAATGATGGTCCTTTAATAA